AGTTAAGGCCATCTTTCACTAGGCTAGATCCCGTTGGCCCCTCTAATGTAATTAAAATAAAATAAAAGGGCTTCTTTAGCAATTGGATGGAGCTGTGAGATTTCACTTGGAATGAAAGGATTGGAGTGTGATTAGGCAGTAATGAGATTTAAGAGTAAAGCATTTTGAGTTGAAGATTTAATATCTAGAATTTATATACAAATCTAAAATGGCAAAGTTATAGACATAAACACAATATCAACATCGAAAAGATGAGTAGTTATCTTCTTTTTTTCATCGTCACATCGGAACTTCCATCTATTAATTATGAATCAAGATGTATATCAGTAGGATGGTAAATGCCGAACCATCCCACGTCATTGCCTCATTACAAGTTAAAAGAAAACCAAGCAAGAGAATGAGCCACAACAGTGCACTTAGAAGAAATGATTTACATGAGAGCCAGCCAGGGAACTAGTTATTAACTTGACCCAGGTGCTCATTTGATGCAAAGCTTTACCTACGTTGATTCAAAACCAAGGTAGTCCGAGAACTTCCTACCTTTCCGTATATATTTTAGTTTCCGCTGCTCTTGGCGGGCAAAACAACTTATTGCATGGACCATACCATGAAAACAATATTGTTACCATGAAGCAGATGGGGCGTGTGGTGTGTGGCATGGCACCCACACAAATATTGTAATCATTGGGCCGGCCTGCATGCTGGTCCTCACCAAATTGTTCATTCTTATCTCCCCATACATAACCCGGATGGGCACATTAATAGAATATCTCCTGTAAATGTGCTCAATAAGCGCTCATGCCTGCATTCGAAGGGTGTTTTATTATCATGTGCGCTACATGCGATTTAAAGATTTCTTATTGTGTTTATAATTTTTCTAGATGTTGGGTGCAATAATTTGCATTAACTTAGGATTAAGCTCTATAGTTTGTTGGTATTTTCCCTAGTGTTATTTGGGTTAAGAATAGCGGTAATTAAAGAGGAGGAAGGGGCATATAGGCCATGTTTGGTGACTAGTATTAGATTGGATTGGAAGAATCACTAAATCTAAGGTATAGTGAAGGAGGAAATGAAGGTAGGGGTGAATGACTTTCCATGTTGGGAGGATTAGGGGAATTACTTATGAGGTGTTGTTATCCTACCATTTCGTGGAAATTAGATGAAATAAGTTTTCTTCATGAATAATCCATTTTATACCTTCAACTTGGTAAAAAAAAAAAAAAAACATTTCTTCCTTAAACATGTTAAGGAATATTCAATCCAATCCAATCCAATACTAGTCACCAAACATGACCATAGAGACAAATGAAGTCGGTTCGCAATGACATGAGAGCTTTTTACAAGTTGATGAAGAGTGTCATAAAAGCTAATATATAGCAAAGCACACCGTAAAAGTGGTAGGGAAGCCTATATTTTTGTTCCTAGATGTCAAGTTTGAGCCCATTGCTTGGACTTTACTTTTCTCTTTCTTATCAAGTGGACAAACAACATGCATCAACCATCAACAAATAATAAAGCAGAGCACTGAAACAAAACAACCATCAATTTGTCTCCTTTTTGGGGGGCCTCCAATCAGGGAATGTGCCCTCCTTCCCTCTCAACTCTCATCCTCTTTGTCCATGTGTGTCGCTCGCTCTGCCCTCAAAACCCTAGCTTAAAAACCCAGCTTTCTCAATGTCAATGTACAACTTTATAACGTCTGTATATATATAGGTGATAATGTAGAGCTATAGCTAGGTCTGTATTTTGTACTATGATATATAGGGTACATAAATATTATGATTATATATACACACGTACGCATCCCCAATTATTGTATGTATATAGAATGTAGCAGGCATACAAAAGTTTCTTTTTTTCTGAGTTTAGTATATCAAGACTCTACTTTGTATAAATGAAGGGCATACGAATGAGATGGTCAACCTCTCAGCCTAAATAAAGAGCTAGCTTCGTCTGCGTCTATGTTATCTCTACCTCAGACAATAATTTAATTTCTGAGAAAATATGTCACCTAAATGTCATATATATACTTCATTCAGTAGTGACAAAGAATGACATCACCAAAATAAATAGTGATACATAAGATCATATTGATCGATGCGCATATGGGCATGCATTACCATATGTTACAATCTATGCTTCATAACTCAACAAGCTTCATTCTAATATTGTTGTACAGTCCAGCGTGACCCAATTATTAAATCTGATCCAATATCGATATTGTCGATAACTTAATCATCTACTTGAGTTTAGGCCCAATAAATCCATCCAAAGCATCGCGTTATTAGTAGTTAGTGAACAAATATTCTTTTGTAGACTATTTTAGTACTTTTCCAACGTGAGATTATTCACACATTCACATCTAGGGCTTGATCAAGTCACACAATCGCAACATCTTATTTAGTTGACATGTTTATCACCACATATTAATTATGTGATAGAAGTAGTTACTATTACATTCTCAAAAATTAATAAGTTCTTAATTAGGATGTGGACCAAAAATTATTTATGATATACACAAATATGCAATGGCATTCAATATTTAAGGATAACATAATCGCTGTCTAGTGGTTTTGCAAAGGCAGAACAAATGAGTAGTCGTAGAGGCCAGTCCTGGACTCCGGGAACTGTGGAGCTTAAATTGGGATTTAAGAAATGGCGACTAAGGAAGGACAGGATTAATGATGCTGCTTTTTTTCACATGCCGCTGTAAAGAATGATGTTTATTATCCTAGTCCGCCACAAAACACATGTAATGTTGTTATGTGAACAAACCCTAATTACTCATTCAGTTTCACACTTGTCTGCTTATTGTTCTGGATTTTGCTGGCCGGGTGAAGCAATCTCTCTCTCTCTCTCTCTCTCTCTCTCTCTCTCTCATGTGCAGGCCAGCTGACAGAAAATGAATAATGTCAGTCTTTAGTTTGGTCCTTTCTTTTATGTTAAGTGACGCAAGAAAAAGTTAAGAAAACAAATAAAACCCAGCACGTCAAACTCTCTTTGGTCAGAAAGAAAGCACCCACTTTGTTTTTATCTTTTTCTTCTCTGAAGAGTCCATTTCCCGAGCATTCTCTCTCTCTCTCTCTCTCTCTCTCTCTCTCTCTCTCTCTGTGTGAGAGATAGAGAGTTTTGATGCATTATGAGTCCATGAGAGCACGCCCAATGATGTTGTCCCTTCAGAATTTGCCATTGCTTAAAAGGGATTTTCATGCTTGACTTCAACTCAAGTAAGAGAAGAGAAGATGCTCTCAGGTCAATATTCCATAGCAACCACACTCATTATTTTAACACTCTCAGACTTTTTCCTCCTCATATTTAAACCCCCCCTATCCTGTACCCCTGGGTATAATTTTAAAATGAACTTCACGCGGGTCCAACAAATCTATATCTGCAAAACTTGTTGCTGGGAAGCTAGCTGAGGTGGGTGACTGATATCTAAATAATTTAAGCATGGATGTGCTGCATGCATGTTTCAACGCATTCACCTCTTCTATTGTATTGTGTTCTATTGTGCTTCCCAGTTCTATCTGATTTTTATGTTCTAGTTTCATCAACAAACTGAGGGAACCTCGAATATCTTGTCGAAGAAAAGCGATTCTAGCTGTTTTCGAGTGAGTCATCTTCTTTCAAGGTATGCCAAATAGTCTCTTTGGTATCACATTCAAATTCTAAAACCTAAGTTAATAATTAAATGTTGCAACACATCGTCATGCTAGTTTGGCCATCATCTTCTTTAATTTCTGCACAATAATAAGTACAACTCTTTCAAGTTATGCTATTGTTATCTATTCCAGAAACTAAGCCATGGGGAGCCGGGAAAACTTAGTTGTTAATTGTGCCAATTCCTTTCTTATTTCTCAGTGGAAGATTGGAAAATATTTCTCTCAAACAGCTCGCCATTGCCTTCTATACAAAGCCTCCTTTGAATTTATTTTTTTGTTGACAGAATTCATTTTTTTCCAGTTAGAATTGTTGCAACAGATCGACTAAATATATATTGAACAAAGTTCTAACTGACTGTATTAACTACCACTAATTCCAGATGTCCCAAATCACTTTGTGTTTTTTTCTCTTCGATCGCCACCTTATATACGTGGAGTGCATGCATCACAATTGTAGGACTAAATCAAGAATAGATCTTGTTGATAGTATATCGTCGGTAAATTAAACCCTATCCGCCCTTAGGCGATTAGTTTTGAGTTCGATGCTCTAATTCTATTATCAAAAGTTGGATACTTAGGCCAACATATGCTAACAGCCTGCAAAGACAGAACCTTTCCTTAGCATACGAATTTCCAGGAAGACAAAACCTTTCTTCGCCAGCTTACACTCTTATGATCCTTACTTTGATTTCTCTTTCAATTTCGCAAACTACAAGAGGCAGTCTTGCTCAAATATTAATTATACGAATTAAAAGCATTTTCGAAACAATATGCCACAATCAATTAAGCCACTCGGTCTTCTACCTTTCATTTATGCCCACCGTATGATCATCATGTTCTTTCAAGTACTTAACAAAATTGTATGTTCCAAAAATATCTCAGGACAACCACATACCAAGAATTCTACCAAGTCATTTAGTCTGGAAACAATTGATTATATGATAAAAAATACACACACACACACAATTGATTACATTTCTCATGAAGTATAGAGGCCATCATTGTGTCACTGCTGCTGCGTGCTTCATGTATAACATGTATTTGATCGAGTAGACAGAGAGTTTTACTCAGTAAATCACAATAATCAAACAGAATACCGGGCCATGCGAAATAACGAAAAATACATTCAACAAATATATTGGCAACAAGTACTGCTACGCCATACAGTCCACGTAGTCTTGACTAAGTTGTTTTGTAATTAAACATATATATGTTCTACCTAGCTAGCTGCCTAGTATTTCATTAAAACATCAAAGGCCACAAAAGTTGAGTAGGGTAAAGAAATAGCATTGTGTTTTCTTATGTACAGCAGATGGATTATAATAATATTGTGTTTTCTTGATCCCTTTGAAGTACTGTACCTCCTACGATTAATTAGTATCATGTATTGGCTAATTATATGTAATATTCATGTTCTGATCATTTCCACAGATCAATTTGGCAACTAGAGGTGGATGTTGAGGCATAGTCCTGCCCTAAATTTTCATTGTCTGGCCTTCTGGAAGACTCATTGGCCAGCATGTTGGCCACATGAAACATTGATGCTGCATTGGAGTAATTTGTAACTTCCTTGGAAGCATCTTGCTGGTCCTGGCTCAGCTGCGACGCAACAAACTTGTCGAGCACACGCCAATCGGTCACCTGATCAACAGATTGCTGATCATTATTGTTGTAAAGCACCAATGACGATGACGATGAGTTGAACATGTTTTGCTGCTGATTGATGTGCTGCTGCAATTGCTCCTCTTGTGTGAGTGTGGAAGACTGCAACATTGAACCATATGGGGCTGACTGAGGAACCTTGGGGCTTTCTAATTGAGGGAGATGGAGGAAAGAATCATGGTGGTGGTGATGTGGCATGTTGTACTGCAAATCAAGCTCTTGTTTGCACTGGGAATAGTGCTGCTGCTGCTGGTTATATGGTGAGGCATAAGGGTGGGAAATTGATCTCCTTGGAGACTCAAGTTCTGGCATGAATGAGACTTGGTCATACCAACATGGTGACTCGTAATCACCTATTTTCCTCACTGTTGCCAATCTCTTCTTGAACACCCTACACACAACCCATCCTTCTTCCTGTGTGCAATTATAACAATCTTTGGTGTTAGAAATAAACTTCACTTACAGACAAAGAAACATATACAACTGTGGAGGACACAATTTCGTCGATCCTTGCTTCGATTCCCCTTCTAAGAAACATATGAAACATATACATTATTGATATATATGCTCGTAGAAAGCATATATAAGAAGAATTAATACTTGCCTGAGGAGTTCCATTCTCACTAGTTTCTAGTCGATACTCATGCATGATCCAATCTGACTTTTGTCCATTTGGAGCACGGCCTTTGTAAAAGACTAAGGTCTTTCTCATGCCAATGAGGATGTTCCTTGAGTAAATAGCCTTATCTCTTCCTGTAGCTTTCCAGAATCCGGCTTTCGTTGCCCTATTGGTTCGAGTTCCAGTAGGGTACTTCTTGTCTTTGTGGCTAAAAAAGTACCATTCATTCTGATCATCAGTTCCTATTTTGCACAATTCTGTCCAATTCAACAACAATAATGGTGAAGAGGATCAGCAGATTATTAAGTAAGTTCTCTCGGTTTAACTAAAGCATGAATGAATTACTAAGTACCTTGAAGATCCCACGGCTCAATCTTATAAAGATCAACATCTTTGATGACATCAAGGTCAATCCTTTTTGAAGCAATCTTCTTTCTAAGATAATAATCGACAAGTTCTTCATCCGTGGGGTGGAATCTAAAGCCAGGGGGTACATGTGAAAAAGTATTCATCTTCTCGGTATAGTTATCCAAAACCTGCACTTCAAACATGAACACAATCAAACCCCCAAAAAGAAAAATATGAACTCAAATATACTTATGACAAGTGCTTCCTCCCGGTCGTGAGAGAAAACGAACACATATCAGACGTGAAGTCCTTCTATATAACATCATCAGGATGTACATACCTTAACTTCTAAGTAATACACAAACATACGTATATATGATTAGTTTTTTCTTGCTACACACATAAGTAAAATAAAATACCGAACTGTTTAGCAATGAAACAATATTGCAAAGTTTTTAATGTCAAGTTGAATTCCGATCTTTGGAATATATAATATGCACCATGCCAATCTAGCTAGGAAACGACGCAACACGTAACGGTAGGGAAGGCAAGAAATTACACGAGATCCACAAGTACTACTGAGCTTCTTGTTGAATCTTAGAGTACACAATGCCATGAAAGAAGCCCTCTATTATCTTGTTGATTCCACCGCGAAAAGAAGAAAATACAGAAAACTCTTATGTTTCAGTGAATATTGATACTGAAATCTTACGTCCAAAGGCAAAAAGTGCTTGTACTTATATACCTATAGAGAACCCTAGGCGCTAAGCATCCTAATAAAAAGGGAAATTAGAAGGAAAAAAAAATCTAAAACTTACCAAAATAAAGAAGATCCTATAAAATAGAATTTATTTAAAAGACAATAATTGCCTAAAACGAACCTATATATACGAGATCATATAGAGATAAGATTTTCCATAATGGTAAATAAGTAATTCGTCTTCATTCTGTCTTTTATTTTGCCTATTTTGAAATCTGGAAGTAGATAGATCTATACAAAACAAAGAAGAGAGATCTTTATTTAATTATATCATGCATATATCTATATATGTTCATCCAACTAAATCTGACAGCTTAACAACAAAACATGAGTTTAAGAGTTTAACAATGGTTTGATGATGAAGATGAATGAAAGTTGATGAAGCTTGCTCGAATTAGAAACATTAATCAAAGCGAATCTACCTGCAGCACGATTGGAATGGAATTATGAACACAAATTAGTAATCTTAGTTCGAACTGATTCTTTTTTCTTTTTCTTTTTCCATAAGCAGTTTAGAAATCAGATTGCAGATTTGTACATATTGAAGAAACACAAAAAGAAAAAGGGGTCTCGTATATCAATGGTGAAAACTGAGGGGACAATGACAAAAAGTTGACTTTGGATGATCAATTGCATAATTTATGAACGAGAACAAAAAAGTATAATCATACTTAAATTTAAACGATGACGAAAATAATTTTGTCTTTACCATAAGAAACTAGGAAATGGATCAATCATTAATATAGCTGTAGTAATATTAATTACATGGTAACTTAGACAATACACTATTTTCTTTTCATAGCTGTAGGACTCATCTAACCAAAAACAAAATGTGATCATGCATGTAGGACTCATCTTAATGATTTTTCTTTTGGTGTAAACCATATGGAATGACATCTTCGAGAGAATAGATCCATGCATGTCGTAAAAGGAGGTGGTATGGAAAGTATATTGGTAATTTTGATTTCCATCAAAACTCCATCAAAGGGGTTAAAAAAATGGATGGAAGATGGGCTAATCAAAGAAAAGTATGAGTGTTCTTGCTCATGCGGCTTGGATGAGCACACAACATGAAAGCTGAAAACAGCCAGATGATCGATCCATGTTGTTCCATATAAAGAAAACAAAGATCATCCTACAAAACATGAACAGTGGAAGATACCATCTTTAAAATTAAAGCAAATACATTTGATCTTAAGCGAGCCTAATATTCGACGAAGCTTCAAGCTAATATTTCATGTGCTTTGCTTCCAAAGATTAATGGTATGTACCATTTTTCATCTGTGATCATTTTAATACACTCATGCAACTGGCCACATGGATCTAAATATTATCACTAAGAAAATTAAAAACCAATAAAAAGAGAGAAAAAGAAGAAGAAGACGAGGATATCAAGAAGAAGAAGAAGAAGGGAGGAAGAGGAAGAGAGGAGGAGATGACAACCTTGGTAATCTTGTACGGTGACAACACCCTATGGAAGATAAAACTGCTGCACACAGATCTGGTTGATCAAGTAAACCTCGTATATCCACCAATCAGCTAGATGGTAGCTTAAAGATATATATGTAGGAGACAATATCGGAAGCTTGGCTTTCGTCACTCTTTTTAACTTTTTGGTTGTGAAATCCCACTGAAGCAGACAAAAAAGAAGCACAGAAAAGAAAGGACCAGACACAAAAACAAAACATACAAACAAACAAACAAACAAACAAGAAGAGCAAAGCAAATCCTCGGGAATTGAACTGATCCTCCCCAAGACACAGAGAGAGAGAGAGAGATCGGATCCCGAGAAATGGAAAAGAAGGAAAGGAAAGTGAAGGGAAAAGGAAAGGGAAAGTTAGAGGCTAGCTAGGAATGGAAAAACAGGGAAGAGACGGAGTTAAATAAGAAGAAGCGAACAAAGAAACAAACAAAAACAAATATATAAACACATGCCCTAATAATCCATCCCTCTCACTCATATGCACATTTTCTCTCTCCTTATCTTTTCAGTGTGTCTGTGGATGGCTTGATTGCTGCAAAAGCTTTGCCCGAAATAAAAGGGAGGCGCTCAAATGGCTCACGAAAGTGAAAAAATGAATCAATGAGAGAGAGAGAGAGAGAGAGAGAGAGAGAGAGAGAGAGAGAGAGAGAGGGAACCCTCCAGACACACACACGAGAGAGAGAGACGAGAGAGAGAGAGAAGGTAACCTCCAGAGCCACCCACCAGTGATGGAGACCAGAAGAGAAAAGCTGAGCTTCTCTGAGGTTGTCTCTCTTCTGTGAGAGTGAAGGAAGGAGATTGGACGGTGAGGATTGGATGGATGACGAGATCATATGGGGATTGGCTTAAATCGTCAAGGACAATGAAGGACAAAAAACAATGGGATTAATTAGTAGTGTGTTAAACAAATTAATTGACTATTAATATTTGTTTGATGATGATGATTGATGATAAAAATATATATGTGCAGATATTTGTAATCAATGGAGGATATTTTTTTGGTGGTGACCCCTCTCTGCCTGAGGCTGTGGTGAACATTCTCCCGCCAAAAAGTAACCTAAGCTTAGCTAGCCATCTCTCTCTCTCTCTCTTCTATATATTATTGATCCATGCAGTTGAGTCTACACCGCGTGCTGTGCACGTCCAGATTAATTATGATACTACAATTTATAGCCCTTCTAGATGATTACTATTTGTTCATAAAAATTATAAGATCAATAAACTTTTCCTAATTTCTAAGCGATTTAAAAAAAAATTATATGTGCACCTAAAATTCTGTGTTTTGAATCCTCCCTCTTTCAATATCGCTTGTATAAAAAATACAGTGTATACCCCCATTTTAGCCTTAAATTATCATATATCAAATTTGACAAAGTAAACTGATCCAAATGTGTACTTGCATGTTGTATTGGGTTTATGAAATGAAGGAGGTATTCCTTTTTCCATCACCTCCTAGAATAAGGACTCGTTTGGAAGTGATCTAGATAGGCTAGAATCACTTTTAGGAAGAAGCACCTCCCATATATTTTTCTATATAATCACTTTAAGTGATTTTAAGTGATTCTGAGGAGAAACACATGATAGGTGCTTCTCCATAAAAATCACTTAAAACCACTTAAAGTGTTTATAGAGAAGTGATTATTGACATATCCAGAATTACTCTGAACAAGCCCTAAATAAATAAACTCATCCACATTCTATCTCATCAAATTAAACTTCTGCTACTCAGGTTTAATTATCTGAAAACAAAAGAGTTCCTTTTTTTTAATATGTAATCAACATTTGTGCCATCGATCATCACAATTAGAATTATCCTTGTTGGAAACATGTCTCTCAACTGTTCCAAAATGACTTAATATTATAGAGATCAATATAGCTCTTGGCACAATGAACAAATATTTTACTAGCAAATGGAGGACTCTCCTATCCTAGTAAGGAGGCTCAACCTCCTGTTTTTTTTATCGGCAAGGAGATTCAACATCTTTAAGGAGCAATTATATAAAAAGCACGTAAGTTTAGTGAAACCCTGAATTGAGTTCATAATTGATGAAGTTTCTCATACAAGTTGCACTTATAGAAAAGGTATTTTTTTATATAAGCGATATTCTATTTTAAATTAATCTAAACTACGAAAAGGGTGATTCGAACTCGAGTACATAAAAAGTATATTTAAACTAATAGTTACCTGAAAAAATAAGATATATATGCAATAAATTCAATGTACTTAAAAAATAGTTAAAAAAATCAATGATATTCTTCATATCTTTCGACATTTCTCTTTTTAATTAATGAACACCGATATTCTATACATAAATTTAGTTTTCCGGAATTTTCTTACCCCATATTTCATTCGCAGATTATGTCACTAAAAATTTAATTTATATAATTATTTTTTATTATTTTCAGCAACCATCTCCAAAACCCTAGACAGCCAAACTCCAAATCCGACCCCGTTACAAGAAGAGTCTCTGCAATTGCTCGACCCCGTTACAAGAAGAAAAATAAAAATAATTATATATATATTTAATTCAAAAAGTGCAAATAAATTAGTGCAACAATTCTGGAAAGAAACTTTTTAAGGTTTTTAAAAAAGAATTATATATGATCCTATGATACCTATCCTCACCAGCAAATGCACGCGGGCTCTGGTTGGTTGGTCCGCAATTCTTTAATTTGTATTGTATTCTATACGAACCCTCGGCTCTCATGACATGGGCCCCACAAACCGACCTAGACAATACGATAGCGACACCTCTCCAAATACATAACATAAAATAAGGAGCTCAAATGGAGTCCGCTCGGCTCAGCCGCCCAGCCGAGGAGCGAGGTAACAGCGTGACAGCGAGAGTCAGCTGGGTTGTGTTTGTGTGTTTCCGTGCCTGTGGTGGTGGTGGATTGTGGGGCCCAGCGGACGGAATGATGTTGGGGTTTCAGTACGTGGCGGCTGATGGTCCGGCGTGGGCTAGCCCACGATCATTAGGCTCACGATTTGGTGTGCAGGCCGGTTTATGCTTGCGGGACCCACCCCCGTTATCCCGTTCTGGGCCCACCTGGCCTGGCCCCACTTGCGCTCTTTTTTGCAAGGGAAGCTTACAAGTTGCCCTCTGACACATGTACCTTTCCCGGTTCAAAAATGATTTTCTCCATTTAATTCACACGGATATCTGCAAACATTTGTTATCATTTACCTTTTAAATTCAACAAACAAATCATTAACCTTTAACAACATCATTAAAAAAAGTAAAGAAAATTCAGTAATTACTTTCTATTTAATGACTTCACGAAAGCTTCTTTAGAAAAATGAAAATAAGAAACCAATAATTTGATTTTATTACAAAGGGATAGCTCTTATATGTAATTTTGTCTATGGTTATGTTCTTCTTTCAACTGAATTCGGACAAGGTGAAGACATTATCTGCTAGATCCAAGGCAATGATAGAAGGGATTATAGAAAAATTACTTTTGAGAGCGATTATCTCCATATAGTTTTAGCTCTTTAGAGTACTTCTATTAAATGGGTTCGCCATGGGACATGTGGTGGAGGATACAAAGCATCTACCACCTCCATTCACTGGAGAAAGTTTTACTCATGTCCACCGTACTGTTAATCGAATGACTCACCGTGTGGCACGCTGTGCTTTGCTAGCCTAATCTTTTACAATTTTTGTCCTTTGTTCTATTTTGATGCATTGATCTAATAATTTTATCTGCCTTTTATTTAATTTTTTAAATGTGCATTAGGTTAGTTGGTTAAGACAGTATATTGTCTCTTGTCATAGAGCTCGATCCCCCTCCTCGTATATTAGAGTAGTTTAGACTATCGTTTTGTAAGAAGAAAAAAAAAGTGTACTAAATTATGATAATGACTTAATATGAAGTACTATTAAATGTATTAAACATATTTTAATTGTAATTTTCTTAACAACTAATAATAATTTGGATTAATATGAGGAAAATCAAAAGCATCTCTATTTTATTTTCCTATGTATCGGGCCGGTCCTTCGCCCTTGTGTTAGGGGTCTTTAGGGTAAAGGTTATGTATGATAAATATAATATAATAATATTAAGTGGATTTATTAAACTTGTTTTGTTTTAACAAGAAGTGAAGCAAAAGTCTCACACGTGATCCGAGTGTCATCTTTGGATTGGGCTGGACCCCACCCCACCAATGCTTGCGTGGCAGTGGAGTGTGGTAAACAAGTTGAAAGTTTTTTTTAAACTCCAATTGGAAAGGGTTAATTAATTACTCTTGTTGATCGATCATGATCGAGTTAATTATGTGTAAGCTCTACTCGAGCTAATGGCACCAAACACCAATCAACATAAGACAAGCTCTGGTTGCATGCACTAATATATCATTCATAAACTTAGTGCTGCACTTAATTCATGGTTTCAATTGTAATAATCGAAATCAATTTACTTTAATTAATCGAAAACGATATACTTTATCGGTAGTTAGTAATTTTAATCGGAGACAAACTTATAATTAGCATGCACCATATACTATTTTGTTATATTCCAAAACTTGTATACTCAATTAAGGAGTTAATTAGCATGAGTAAGGATTGGTTATGATGTATAATTGAATTGATTAAAGAGTAGTGATATAATTCACCTTAATTAGCTGCTTTTCTTGAGCTAGCTAGCATGCATAAATAGGCCAATAACGTTGCTCCACCCACCATTACATTACATGCTATGTAGTAAAAGAGATGTATTTGAGGAGGATATTTGTTTGCATGCTATGATTGTGCCACGTGGATTCTTTATTACAATTATCATGATTTTGTGCATGTATTATGTTCATGAGTTTTTATTATACGAAAAATATTATTAGTTCATAAGGAAACTTAGGATTTGCATTTGTCACTAAAATTTCTTGAGACTATAACATTTGTATCATGTACTTGGAATGATGCACCAATTGTCAAGTGTACACATGCTCATAAGTACCCCTTGCCTTCCTCACTATTTTTTTTTTTTTCTACTTGGATTTTC